CTCTGTGTAACATAAAATTTATCACAGGAAACTTGAATTTTTGGACACAGTTTAGATTTAGGGAATTCTTGTAATCTAAAGAGTGCTTTTCAATGAAGGACACACTCAAGTATCTGTTCAAATAAGAAAAATCTCTCTGTGGTTAAAAATCTCTCTCTTTCACTGTGAAGTTAGGTCAACTTTTAGAAAATGTTTAGGGCTTCTTCATTCCTGTGACTTAATGTCCTAATTTTGTAGTCTACCAGCTTGATCCTTATTACTTAGCCACTGCACAATCACGTATCTATTCAAAAGTAAAGGTTTTTAGCGCTGCTAAGTGTAGAGAAATCTCAGTGCTCAAGGAAATCAAGTTGATATCATGTTAATGGCATCTGAGAAAAAAAAAAACCTCTGTGGTTTCAGGTGGGACAGAGGTGAATTCACCTTCAGGTTTCCAAGATTGCCACACATATATTTCAAAGATGAAAAAAAAGGGATAAAAATGTTCTTGTATCAAAGTCTTTGTACAGTTACACAGTTGTATTTTGTGATTAGCTTTTGAGAAGACAAGAGTTGTTTGCTAAGAAAGTGCATTCTTTTTAGCATCTGAAAACTTCTTATTTTGACATACTTCAAATTAGACCAAGAACTTTGGTTTTCTGAGAGTATATTTTTAACCAGCATAAATTTGGAATTCCTCAGTGTGTCCAAATATTAAGAGTGCAATAGCACGTAACAAAGGGCAGACTCTTCAGGATACTTGAACCAATGTAGGCAAGAATCTGGGATATATGGGGCCAAATTCAGGCTACATGGGCTCAGGCAATCTCTGCTACTACCCCAGGACTACCAGACAGTGAAAGGACATGATTTATGAACAATGATGGCAGTTTTTTGTCAATGAATACAGTAGCCAGGCCACACAGTCCTATGTTGCCTTATATAAAAGGAACTATTTTTCCTGTGAATAATAATTTCCTTTTATTCCTTGCTTATTTTAATTCTTCATCTGCATTTCTGTATACAAAATTCTCACTTCTTAGAAACCTATATATAATTATACCTAATAATATTTTATGGTTAAGCAGAGCGTGCAACACTTTGCGCTAGCCCCAAATGTCACACATCCATAAAAAAGGAAGTTTCTTAACTTCACATTGTTCTTAAAATAAATGATGCAAAAAGACCAGAAACATTGCTCCCCTCTCATATCAAAAAGGAGGGCCTAATATTAAATAAGCAATGTCTAATTTAAGCATAAATCATCTATAAATGGAAATTGCCTACTATGTATCTCTATCCGAAGACCTTCCTGTTAAGTGGTAACACTGGAGAATATTAAAGGGGATCACAGAGCCAACAGTAGTGATACCCTTCCAAGCCATTTTTCATATTGGCATCTGTGATAACCTTTCAGATTTACTACTGTCCCTCATACTTTCATTCAGGAAATCCTGCAAAGAAATATGAGGATGTGCGTGATGCAGTGCAGGTGCAGGGAGTCAGCTGTATGTGCTGTGCAGCTGATCTATACATACCCAATAACTTCAACACATGTGAAGTGCATCAGCTTTGCCGAGCAGGTAGCTCAACAGTACAGCATGTATGCAGTCGAGGTATCTGGGATGTGCCAGACTCACTGCATGTGGACTACACAGTCAATGTATACAAATTCCAAACATGATCATTTGTTAGCGATATATGACATCCAGCAAGCTGACGGATCATCGGGAATCCAGAGAAGTAGCAGGAAAAACAGTTCCAGGTTGAAAAAGGGACCTGTGCACGTGGTAGCTTCGTGATTACACTTGCGTAAGTAAAATTACTCAGTAAGAAAAGATCAATAACAATAAAGAATGAATGACTAGACAAATAATTAATCTGAGCATAAATAACCCTTTCCTTAAGGTTATTACATGTGGAAGAGCCTCATAAAAGCTTAAGCTCTGTAATCAAATTTTAACTTTTTAGCTGCATTTTTTTACTCTAAAACACATTCCATGATCTGTCTTAGTTGGTAGAGTAAGTGAACAGTAATTTTTTGGAAGTGACCACTTTAAAGTTTAGCAACAATCTGAAATTATGGGTTTTGGGGTAGGTTGGCTGGTGCTTCTGGTTTGGGGTTTTTTTTGTTTGGTTTGGTTGGGTTTTTTTGGTGTTTGGTTTGGGTTTTTTTTGTAATGGAAAGGAATCATTTTGGGATGGATAACGAGCAAATGAGTGACCAGATACTTTTGTGACCGAGAATTTAACTTGCTTACCCCTGTTCAGGATTACAGGGATAGTATGCACACATTGTGGTTACTCAAGAGCATATGGTGCTCCTACTCTATATTTATATTTTGAAGTAATACAGTCCCTGCCTGAGCTGCTTTTATCGCTAGTCACTCTGCTTTACCTTGTCATAAGACAAGGGAAATCAAGCAATAACACTATCACAATGATATACTAGGGATTCCCATTGTCCATAAAGAAAATTTTGATGAAAGCAGATGAACTAACTGGTTGTAAGATACCAGCTCCAATATCGGAGTCCTATGGGAGGGCAGTCAATACCAGACTGAGAGAGAGATGCCATTGGCAATGTGCTTCAGAGCTTTTAATCAGGAGTGGTAGCTGTAATGGGTAACAGCAGCTTTCCACTGAAGAGGATGCAGTTTCCTATAGATGGATTTTATGGTGGCTGACACTTGATTTGATGGGCCCACGGAAGCCACAGCTCAGACTGTGTACATTTGTTCCATAAGCAGTCTGAAGAAGTGAGCATCACTTTTATTATGATATTTTAAACCTTTTATTTATTCAAGTGAGGGTGAAAAAACAGTATTCCCTGCAAATGGCAACAGTATATATCACTGATTAACAGCTGTAAGGTAAAAAAATATAGAAGAGTTACACTGAGGGGCAAATAAGCTAATTAGACTTTTGACTTTTTCATCTGTCACCTAATAGTAAGAACAGCATATGGGTAAAATGGGTCAGGATTTGCACTTAGAGAATGAGGTCACAACTTTCTTGCCTTGTACAAAGAACTCTCTTAGTATCTGCTGTTCTCTGATCCATTAAAAGTTGTGGGACTCCTGCAATGTAATTAATACACAGCATACACACAGCAAATTGTACAGGGCTGAGAACATCAGCAGCAGAAGAAAATGGATACCATCAGTCAGAAAGTTCCCTCTTACATCCTACCACTCTTTTTGCTTCTAAAATCCATAGTCTTTTGAGGGCAAATAAATTTATCTCTATGCTTAATCTTCATCAGGTATAAGTTAACTCATCTAATGCTATCTGATGAAGAAAAAGAGGTGAACACACAAAATGTTCTATCAGCATATTGATTAAAAACCCCATACTGTCTATACTTTCTCCTTTCCCTTGATCCCTCCCCACTCCCAGTTACCCGATAATAAACGGAAATGACCAAATTTCCCCTCTGGCAGAATCTGAGAGGGCATAGGGGAATTGTTTTGTGTTCTCCAACGAAAACATGAAAACCTTTACCTCTGCTAACATCTAGCATTATCTAAACACAACTTTACAATACCAAGCTTAATTGGCACAGCTAAGATCAGTATGGGCTCTTCTGCTTATTAGAGGGAAAAATCGTAAGCTAACAACACAAGCATAATTTCTATAAATATCAGGGCCTTATAAACAACATATTAGTTTAATAGGTGCTGTGAAGCTTCAAATGACTGCAGCAGCTCACATTCTAGTCTTTAACAATCTTTCCTCCCAAAATCGAGATGTGTAAGAGAGCAAAAATTAAACATTGAACTGGCGGAGTTAGAAAGTCTTCTTCTGAAACTGTTTTCTTGACAAATCAAATATTAAAACACAAACATGGTATGTTTTTAAAAAAACATCATCATTATTATTATTTGTTTTGAAGTTACACAAGGATGCCACAGGCACATTGATTTGGCACCATAAAAAATACAAATTAAAAACTTCTTTTTGCATATCACTGCTTCAGGTACAGGCCTCACTTGCTACTCTGAGTACCACCTGAGACCCAATCCTGCTTTCTTTTTCTTACATGGATTTAGATGGTGATTTGTAAACAGTAGACTCCTTATTCTGTTGTACATTTTTTTGGCATTTTTTATTTCTACTGTTTTCTCTTGGAAATAATTTCCAAATTAATACTGTGGTAACATACATAGTTTTAATGTGAATGTGTGTCTGTAGAACCACTAATGAAAAAAGAATTCACATATCAAAGTAATCTTCAACAGATATTTTCCTTTTACCTTTAATAACTGACTGCTTTAATTATTACTGTTAACAATGAATGAGACAATAGATAAATGGAGAATAACATGAAATATAATAATTCTCGTGCTGATTTCATCAAACAGCTCTATTAATAAGCATATATTAAGCTAGACAGTAATGTTACAGACAAAATGTGAACTGTATTGTTGGTGTGGACCCCTGGTTAATTAATGAGCCTGTTCTCTCATACACACAGACACACAACCATGCAAAAAATGGCACAGAAAGAAAATATTTCCTTACATATCTTTCACAAAATCTAGCTAATAAGGGAATTTCTTCAAACACCATATCTATATATATTGAAAATAGCAGTAACAAGCCACATAGATTTTATTCCCGGATCATCAGAATCTGAGATGCTCAGAATCTTATGAGACCTGGTGTTCCCGAGCTTGAATATCACCAGTTTTTTCTTCTTAAGAAAGAAGGTCACTTCTGTAAAATGCTAGGAATTAATTTAGTATGCCTTGATTATAAAATGATCTGATTTTATGAGACTACTGCATCACAACATCACATGAAGAGTAAGAGGCCAGATATCAGATTTAATGAGGTTAGAATGAAAAAAAATCACACCATCATCACAATCAGTCAGTACAAAATGGCTTTGAATTCCCCATTCCATCTTTGACTCTACCTTAACAGCAAACCAGAGGGCACAATCCGATTCTGAAATGTGGAAAAGATCACATTGCTAAGATTTATTATGGGTACAATTAAATGTTTTTCCATCTTACCTGATTGAAAGAGAATGACAAATCACTGCAAATCCCAGCATCCAAAAATAATATGATAATATATGTCTCCTTCTGAAATAGTCCAGATTTCCATCCACAAAGCTTTACTAATTAATTATAATTTCTGTATTCTCGGTGGAAAAGAAAACACAGAGACCTTTCCAGAATCCTCTCTGATTCTGCCTCCGCTTCCTGTTCTCGGTCTCACTCTATGGTACCCAACATATATCAGAAAACAGCTTATTAGGAGAAGGGGGGGTGAAGGGTGGGGGAGAAGTGAAAAAAATGCAGCACCTAACGTGGCAGCTCCACCTACTGGTAAAGATAATGAATACGTACAAAGCATCAGCTTATGAGGCATCTTTATCCCAGTTTATTCTGACCTACACTTCAGACAGCTCCTGTGTAGTGAGTTCCTCCAGGCAAGAAGCAGAACAGACCAACGAAACCACACACTATTGAATAAACCTTTTAAAGACTTTTTCTTAAAATAATTAAATTTGTAAACAGTTGTCTGTCTACATTCAGCTGAGCATTTAGTTTTAAATGTGCTGTTTCCTTTAAAAATCTATGGGAAGAGAGGAATGTGTAAAGGAGAGAGCATAGACACTGACTGCACCTCTAATTGGTGTATGCCGAACTTGCTGATTATCTTGATACTGTCTTATTCATTAAACACTATCACACATTTTTGGCATCATGTTAATTTCTTTTATGTGCATAAAATGTACCATGCTTACGTAAAAACCATAGCTCAAAGTCTTGCCCTTAGACAGGATTCCTGGGCATGTGCAGATTTACATCTTCTTACCTAGGATTCCTCTGGCCATCCTGTGAAGAATTATTAGGGAGGTTGCTCCAACATCGCCTGGTCCACGGGCAACGGTATTGTGTGAATAAGGTGCTTCAGGCAACATATGATTTTGTCATATTTTTATTGTCAGTTTTTAGGAGTATTGTGTCTGTCGAAAGCAAGATGTAGAAATGCTGAGTGTGCAATATTTTGACTCATGGCCTTGGGTTAGAGATTACTCCTGCTCCCAACTAATTTAAACTCAAGCTACCAGCTTTGTTCGGTCACGTGGGATTTAAAACAAGAAAAAAGAGTATAAGAGAAAATTAATATTTTGCTGTCTGGTGGCTCCTGTATTTTCATTAGGTACCTCTTCAGTAGTGGCTAGAGGCAGCCCCATTCTCTGTCCCACTGGTCACATGCTTCGCTCTGGAAGTGAGGATGCCAGGGCAGCCAGCACATATCCAGCCTGATGGCTGCTACCGAATCACAACTACATGAAGCAGCAGTAGTGGCAACAACTGCCTACAACCGATGTCCCTTATCTCTGATATCATACAGATATCCCTATTTCAATTAGCATACTTAAACCACAGTCCTTAAGCACTTGTGTCAATTCGTGAGTAGTCCTGTTGATTTCAGTTAAGCTGTGTCCTTGACAGATACAAATACCAAATTCCTGAATGTGGCTAATAACAGCAAACAGAAGTATGTCTGCAGAGGATGTATGTATTCTGTATCTACAGAATAATCTTTGTATATTAAGTGAAAGAGATGTTCCCCCCGCTTGTAAATGCAGCTGCCTTACTTTCCTTGTTTGTTTTTGTAAAACTGAGGCACATGGGGACACTCCTGACCACACTGTTCTGTTCAAGCAAATCCCCCCTTTCATTTCAAAGAGAGTGTGAACATATACCACAGTTTTATAAGATTAAAAAAAAAGATTTGCTCTCCTTTTGATTTTAGTATTTACATTTTCAAACTTTCAGCAGTTAAGAAGGAATGTATTTTTAATAAAAGTGTTCATAGACTCTAAAGCATTGGTTCTGCTTTCATAGGATTATGTTAATTTGGAAAACCCATGAATGAACAGAAGCTGGTGTCTTGATTTTAAACTGCTTAGAAATATTGTTTTGCAACTGTATTGTGTTTTGAAAATCAAACCAGTTTTAGGACTTTTATTTGCTTACATGCTGCATTTCTTTTATTTATTATTTTTAATCTTAAAAAATTTTCTTAGTGGTCTTTAGAAGTTATTTTTAGAAAGTCTTTATGTCATAGTCCAAATGCAATCATCCTCTAGTAACATGCTAGTTAAGGGTGAGTTACACACATTGAATCTCCTTCTCCTGGAAAAATAAAAAAATTCTAATCTAAACTGTAAACTAGTTCAAAGTCATTAAAACATAGGAAACATAGTCCTTTATATCAGCAATGTAATTCCAACAGAAAAGGGTGTATAAAAAGCAGTTTAGAACCTGAGCTGATTTAGAGATTTGATTCTCTGATAAGTTTTATAGCAGCATGTTCTTGGAATAACTAATTTTTGTGGGCTGATGTTCCAAATAATGGTTAGATTTATGTCGTACTACTAGAGAACCCCAAGTTCTGATTTTTTGTGGTAGTGCCCTTATATTGATTGCAATCTTCTGTGATGTACCAGCTGGCACAATGACTATACGTAATGTATTCATCCATACCAAGACAGCCTGCTCATAGATGTAGGTCTGATATTAGAGAATTGTTGGGTCACTGATTTAAACAGTTCAATTATCAACCCTCACACACAAAAAAAAAAAAAAAAAATCCAGAAAAGGTAAAGTTTTGATTGTAAAAATGATCATGCCACATAAAGTCATGGTAAATATTCATTTATAAATGTGGTGCACATGTGGCTCATATTCTTCTCTAATCAATGTACAGACTTGTCTGTATAGTGATCCAATTCACTGAAACCAGTCAGAGTCAGTCAACTGACATATCTGAAAATCTGAAGTGGTCATTTAAAAGACAACAACAAATAGACTGCTTTGACAAAAGTAATTTATAACAATGCCAGCCTGACACTTGTTTCAATTTAAATTATTAGTACAATTTTTAATGAATCATCACTGAAAGTTCACTTCAGAAATTACAGATAAAAATATAACTTGAAAAGCCCTGACATTTCTAAATAATCTGTTTGTCTGGGAATCCTGCCCCAGGTGCAGTTAAGCTCTCAGTAATGAGTAAAGAAATGCAAAGCTATTCAGTCACTTGTAACTGAGCAGCTGAAACAGAAAGAAATGTTGAAGTATCTTACTTGAAAAGAGAAAAATAATTTAGAACTGTTAAACATGAACGAATACAGCCCCTGTACGAGGTCTCATATCAGGGCAAACCCCATACATAGCTCACATGTAACTTCTCAGCTTCAATGCAGTCATCAGCTTGTTTTAACATCAAATATTTTGTTGGATTAATACCAATATTTTGGACAATAATTCTCTTTAGTGATTCTCAGGCACTTTTGTGAACACTATATATTACACTACTCATAATTTGTCAAATTAACACATATGTAAAGGCACCAAAATATAAGACATGCTGTCATATCTGTTCCTTTGATTACTTACCTGTACTAGCCTATGAAAGTGACCTAAACTGCAGTATTTAGCTAAGTGTGATGGATCTGACTTCAATTCAAGTTCAAGACTGGCTGGTATAACTGTATAAACACATTTTTCCACCTTTAGGTTCTTTCTTTTTTTCTCAGAATCAAAAAACCCTGCTTTTAATAAATTTTTTACCAGTCACTAAAGCATATTTACAAGCCATAAACCTGCCATATATAGTGCCACCACCAGCTAATAATGTGCACTTTTACTTGAGAATCTATTTTTATTTCACTCCCACTTAGAGTGGTAAGGGAAATTTAGGGAAGGCAATACACCCAAGTGCAGTGGAAGAATCTGGTCTAACATTTAAGGAAGATCAGTGGTAGGCTTGCAAATGAGTTTCTACAGTTTCTTTTTATTCAAAAACTTGTAGATTGAACACGTGGAATTTCAAAACTGAGAAAGAAAATACAAAATGTGGCAAGCAGTTAAACGCTATAGAACAGAACTGCAGAACTTCCTGGGGTAAACAGGAGCCTGAGGATATGCCTCAACTCCACATCCTTGCTATATCATCAGTAATAACATAATATTCTGTACAGGAGCACTTAAATGTATAAGGACTTCATAGTAACTTAAGCCTTTGACTGCTAAAATATTATAACAGGCCACAGAGCATACTATCTGAAAAGTTATCTGCTTTAAGATATTAATAATAATGTCATCGTCAAGATAAGTGATGAGCAATCTGTACTTTAATGGTTATAGCTTTCAATAATAACACAAAATTATTTTAACATCAATGTTACTAAATAATAGTTAGACCCTCTTATTCTTGTAGAAAAATAGTACAAAGGCTTTACCCAAATGGCCTTAGACAATGCGAACCAAATAATTCCATCGTTTTAGTAAAAATTAATTAAAAATAAATCTCCAAGCATAAACCACCCCAACCATCTTCCATATGTGCCTAAGTGCTTCCAAAATGTTGACCTCTAGTTACAACTTCCCTGTCATTCAGGTGAACTACAATCACAATTATAAAATTATTGAGCTGAACAAAATGTACACAACAACCACAGCTTAGAGATGTCTTAAAATATTCAATTTATATATAAAGTATATATGTATACACACACACTTTGTGTATGTATATAGAAAGAGTAAAGATCTTGTGTATCCACACTGTAAATAAATAAGATCATCATGTGAGACAGCTATCTGTTTAGTCCAGTGGTCTAACAGTGGCCAGTACCACCAGCTTCTAAGTTCAAGATAATTGGCAGCAGACAATAGTAAAATAACTGGTCGATAAAAAGATGTTCTCTTATGCCAGTGATCCTCAAGCTAGAGGTGGGTCTAGCTGGCACACCGCTTGGTTACAGAAGCTTCACAGCCAACTTCTCTTGGCATTGTTAATTATTTAGTGAGAGAGTTGGTGAAAAGTTCCATAGGTTAACTGCAAAGATGTAGCTTTCCCACCATATGTGTGCTAGATGTTTCTGTCCTCTAGCATGTAGCAGGCACTGCATCTGTTGCCACTACATAAGCAGTTTAGGAATTTCTAGGTGCTAGGAGAAATATTCCTTCTAATCTTGTTAATCTTCCATGATCAGACTTCTTATTTTATGTCTATTTCAGCATAAGACAGGAGAGTCATAGAAGGCAGCTAATTCATAAGGAAATACTTTTTTGCATGACTTTTAGTGTACCTTAAGAACTTACAGATATACGGGCCAACAGCTTAGGAGGATTCTGAAAAACACAGGATATTAATGTGAGTAATAAGAGTTAGAACAGGGAGCAGGCGCTGACTCAGATAATAAGGATT